AGGCTGAGGTATACGGCAGTCCCTGGAACGGCAGGGGGGGGGGGGGGGTGTGGCTGCTGCCGATTCAGTGCCTCAGCGTAAGTAAGAGGTGCGGTGAAAAGGGGCTGCTGCAAGGGCACCCGCATAGCCTCAGAATTCTGCTCCTGGATCACATGTCGGAACATGGGGGCCAATTGTGAAGGGTGTGGCAGTGGCTGTTGCTGCGAGAGCTCCTGGCGTTGAGCAAAAGGCAGTAGAGAAAGCTGCCGAGCCACTTCCTCTCGCACGAAGTCTTTCATTTGTGTGAGAAGGTTTTTCTGGTCCGTCATGACGTCCAGTTCGGTCACTGGATGGATTGTGACCATGTGTGTCATAGCTTTGACACAAAGTCACTACTTCTGCCAAAGTGCTAGGAGACTTCGCGAGAAACCATAGAAAACGTCATCGTCGACGCCCTTCATAATGTGCTGTATCTTCACACTCTCGCTCATGGAAGCATCAACGCACCGGCAAAGATCGATCACATTTTTTATATAGGCTGTGAAAGTTTCACCTGGCTCCTGTCCCCGTGTGCGCAGACGTTGTTCGGCGTGTAGCTTCCGTAAGGCAGGGCGACCAAAAACGGCACATATAGCCTCCTTGAAGGCGGACCAATTCGTGAACTCTGTTTCGTGGTTCGTATACCACAGCTTGGCCACGTCGGTGAGATAAAAATTGACAGTGCCCAAATTAGCAGTGTCATCCCACCTGTTGGGTCAGCTGAATTTCTCGTATGACGACAGCCAGTCCTCGACGTCCTGGTCTTCTGTCCTGATCTTCCCGCAAAGATCGGGGGGTCTCGCCGATGAACCGGGCCGGGGCAAGTAGCGGCCGCGAGAGGTACTGTTTGTTGGGCAGCGTCAACTTGCATGGTCGACGGCAGGGTGCGGAATCGAAGTTCCAGGGTGTAGGTGATGTGGCTACCCAGCACAAGCCACCAAATGTTAAGAAGTTTCTTGTGCGAACCAAACGGGCAGGTGGAAGATTCGAGATAGCAACAGGACGAGGAAGATGGAAGAGCTCGAGCGCCGATCTAGTGGTGCCTTACTTTGCGATGATGCTTGTTGTTCCCTTGTTTCATCATCATTCCTTCATTACGCGTCTGATAACCAAAAATCTAATCACAAAGCTGCCGAAGTAAATTCAAAAGCAATGCACAGCTGTTGCACTGCGCGCACCACGCTTTCTGTGTGACCACGCTTGCGCAGTACATTCGCCACGCTATATAGTTTCTGAATACTGCCCAAAAAAGCACGACTTCTTGGGCCACCTGAAAATAAAATAAAAAAATTATACTAAAATACAAAATTAAAAGGTGACACAGCGGTGAAAAAGTCGACAAGCTATTCGCGACAGTTGGAGCTGCGCTGGGTACACGCGGCCTATATTCACCAACTATCCACTTCAGAAGCGAATCATTTAGGACGCTAGTGTCCATTCTAAGGCTGGCATCGAGCAGCCAAGGGGCTGAGCGTTCTTTGTAAGTGTTAGTGTCATAATGCAGTACTTCTCTTTTTCGCTCTCATGTCTGACAAGCGAATAGTGTGGGTAGAGAGCGAAGGGGTGTGAGAACCACAAAGAGTGACAAGTTGCGCTCTTGGTAGGCGTCGATGGCGGTGTTGGCTAAGCACATGGTTTCTATAGACACGGATCGATAAGTTGTTGGTTTGATATCCGGGTGTCCACATTTGCAAATCTTCTTTCTTCTGGTTCACTTTTTTTGATGTTTTACAAGTTTTAACAACGACATATGCTTGACGGAAATACGTCAGTAAGGACTTGGTGGACTCCATCATACAACGCTTTCATGTTGGGTGATTGATTCCACGAGAGATCGACATGGGTCCAAAAGTTGATATTTTAGATTTCATTGAGTATTTTATATTTCGTGCACCTCTCACCGGGTAGCCCGAAAGTCAACTTCGTTTTATGATGAACAGCATAACTTACGAGAAAAAAATATCAAACTTGACCAACACGAGGTACCTATTTTGTCACCTGTCATTTTCGAAAATTGCAGATGCTATACACAGACAAATATTTTTGTTTAAAGGAAGATATTTTTTTTACCTGAAATGCATGTCTAATGAAGAATGAATTCATACGGTTTCAGGTTTGTAGACCTTAAGAAAACAGCTTTTAAAAATGTCTAATTTTGCGACAGTTGAAAATAAGTTACGTATTCTCCATCTATTTCTCCGAAAGTAATGCAAGCAGTGTTTTCAAACTTGACACGTTTTAAGGATTTAGTGGGTTTATTAGGTACATTAATTATTGCTGTCGAAGGACAAATGTAAATTTTTATATATTGCCTCAAAGTTCTCATATTGGCAAATGTGTACTCCACTGAAATTTGAATAATAAGAAATTCCATTTTCGATATTTCTTAAAATCTCATAAATAAACAACCGAAGGCCATCATACAGTAATATAAAAAACATGTTGCATTATTTTGTTTTAGCGACAATATTCGTGGTACAAATCTGACCTTTTCGAGAATGCGCTGATATGTTGAGAAATCTAGAAATCGGAACGGAAAAGCGGCAATAAGCTTCAAACGCGAGTGAACGTGACCGCATTTTGTGAAGAAAGGCTGTTTTAGCAGATAGGAGAAACTATTTTGAACACGGTATACTAGAGTATATGAATTCACTCTTATACGTAGAGCACTGAGACTTCTAATATGTGGTGCCTCTCCATTACTGACACACAGATGGAGCTGCTGTGACGGCCATGTGTTTGCAACACGTTGGGTAAGAGAATTGAATGTTGAATGATATCATAAACGATTCATAACAAACTTTTATGATTCGGGGCACGAAGACTGCCGCATTAGACTGAAGAACACGCTTTAGAGCAAGTTGTCATCCGTCGTCTGCTCTACACATGAATTGCTGTGCGCCGCATCTCAGAGGCGATGCTTCAGATCTTATGGTTCAAAGTGAGGACAAAGATTACGCCTACCGTAATTTTATCGACCAAAAATCTTGTGAAATTCATTTTAACGTACTATACTTAAGTTTTGCATTCGCACTGTATTCGCACTTGCCGCCGTGCGAATACAGTGCGACAAACATCATCATCACCTACGCAACCGGTCTAGATAATACAAGATTGAAGCTGCAAAGGGCGGTTCTGGTGTGGATCACTGGGTTTATCGCCCAGACATTGTAAAGTGTTTCCGAACTGTGTTGTGCGGATTCGTTGTCACTTTGGATGCACCTATGTGCCACGCGAACTTCAATAACCTCGACCTCGGCCCAAAATTACCACAGGCGAGCTGCTTCATGGCGATAGTGTTCTTCGCAGGCCACGAGTTGCCCGTATGCTTCCTAAACTTTGTCTTTCTGAGCAGCACTCGCTATTTTGTCGCAGCATGCATCGCCTTGAGTAGGCTGCCGCACGCTCTTGGTGTTTCGTACGCCACCTTGAGAGGAGCCATTACTGAGAAGCACGAGACATCTTGCCGCGTTCCTCATTTTGTGACACATTAATGCACCAGTAGTGAATAGTTGGCTTTCCTTCATTTCAGCGGCACATACAATTTTTCTCGTGTACAGCTTCATACTTCACGGTAAAGAGGGCTCGTCAGTAGGGCTTGTCCCATTTCTCTGGCATATACCGTGTATGCTGCCAGTGAACATTCTTAACGCCTTTGTATATTCCTCTTCACTGTAAAATCGTGGTTCGATCAAGCTTGCACCTATAGCCAAAGAATGACCACGTTGTAAACATGCATTCTACTGCAGAGCCAGGTCAGTGCTTTGACCATATTCAATCGTCATCTTAGACAATGGCTCACGTTAACAGATGCGAAATTGCGTGGCAGAAGTTCAGAAGCACACCAAGCATCACACCAAGTGAAATGCGTAACGAGTCACTGCTTCAAAGCTGCCAACTCATTCCATTTCAAACTTCATTCCCAGTTTTGATAAAAGAAATGCAAGAAATAAGGGCCGAGTTTAAATCCACGACCATGATCAGCCGCAGCACAAAGAATGTGCAGCTTTCCACATGACATTTCAGGCTCCCACTACGATGATGCTGACGATGACAAGATAGCTACACAGGATGGGTTTCGCTTTATAGTCGCCTTAGCATAATTCGCAGGTGACACTGAATATTCTTTGCCTACTTCTCTTTTACTGCGATCATTATCAGCTTTCTTTGAACACGAATGTTTACTTGGTTGTTACCCAACCATGAATACGCATGACCACTTGCTAGTTTTTTTTCTGTTCCTACCCTGTAGCGGGTAAGCCGCATTGCTGTGAATCAACAAACAGGAACCGCAGTTTTTGACACCGAGGGCGTCAGGAAAGGGCATTCATCTGAAAGGAAGAACACGCACGGCAGTAGTCTAGCACTCCAAAAAACTGTACTTACAATTTGTGCTGTGACCGCGATTGGAAGTGCTGGAGCTTTACACCGGCTTGGCATGCCAATTTACCGCACAACAGGTACCGTGGTTATCTTATCACACCTTACCCAACCCAGCAGTGTCTATTCTCCCGGCCACCGGGATAATTGTTCAAAGAAATTTCTGCCGGTGGGGTCGCCTCCCATTGGCTCTCATATGTCATGTGGCTAACTGCCGTGGGGAGAAGAGAAAAAACTGGCTGCTGCGGGAGAGACTGGGCATACGTAGCCTAGCGTGCGTTAGATTAGGATAGGTTAGACTGTGTGGTTAGGTTAGGTTAGACGTGGCCCAGCGTGCGTTGGGTTGGGTTACGCTAGGTTATGTTGAATAGGTTCGGTTAAGTTGTACCGGTTGCCGGGAAAAACGTAGAAAAAATTTATCCCGGCACTTAGTCACGTGACCTATGAGAGCCAATGGGAGGCGATCACTGGAAGAAATTTATTTGATCAATTTTCCCGGTTGCCGGGAGAATACACACACCCTAGAAACCCTTACACATGCTTGGTAAAACTGGCGGTGCCCACATACAGCCGTAATTCAGAGCCGAGAAAACCACAATGAAACAAGTTCTAGTATTACTTTATAAAGCGGTTACCAGCAACCACCAAGTGCACAATATTATCCTCAGAAATGATTCAGAATGTCTGGATGCATAAGGCTCAACAAACACCAGACCTTAATTCTTAAAGAACGCCATTCAATAGCTTAATAGCACATAAACAAACTGATGCCAGGTCAGCAGGCTGCCACAGCGCTGTGTGTATGAATGTGCCTTTATTTTCTTTTCCTGTCCTCTACATGCGCTACAAGGAAATTTGTTGGAGATGATGTTATACAAACCGCTTTCACAAGAGGAGAAGCGTAGCCTCGAACCGGTGCATTCCCGTCACTCTCTCTCCACCGGCCACCGCAACTGGTGCGTGAGGGATTGCCGCGTGTTGCAGGTGCGGCACGTGAGAGGTCAATGTGGTTCTTTTTAGTTTTATGTGCTGAGGCTTTTGTGTTGCTAAAATTGACATATCTGACGAGAACAGGTCAACGGGCTACCATGGCGCTGCGTTTGACGTCGACAACAGCTATCCAAAATGCAGAATGCTCGCAGCCGAGTCATGCGAGGTGCACCTTTCTTTGAACTAGCACAGAGGCCTTCGTCTCCGACAAATATTTTATTGTACGTGGGGTCTATCCTTGTGACCGTTTCTTCTTTACACCAGGTTGTGATTGTTGTGGGCGGCTGGTAAACTTCATGATCTGTGGCAAAGAAAATCAGTGTCAGAGCTGATGGTTAATACATAAAATGTTTTACCCAGAATTCTTCTCTTGTAACATCAACATCCCCCATATCTACGCAACAGCGCATAAGTTACAATGCTCGCGGCTCCTAAAATCTAAGCGCGTGAATATTGAAGATTATTAAATGAACACTCTCCAACAGAAAGGCGCGCATGGCAATTGTTCTTTGGCTCAGGAATGTGCCTCTAGCGTATTTTCAACGGCACGTCATTTTTTGATTTATCAATTCTGTGACGATAACTGGGACCTTTTTACGTTAACTACACTTATTTTTGCTGCAGCCTGAGTGTCGTGAATAATCGAACCTAAATCGATAAAGCCACGTGATCACCTGAACAAGTGCGTTCGTCGTGATGCTTCCTTAAAAAACGACAGCAATGTTACCGAAAACGAGCGTACTTTCGGCATGTCATCTCAGCTGTCATCCTCGGTCTTCGGGCCACCTAAGCCGGGAATCCACGCTACACCAGCACAACTCGTCTACCAGGAACTACTACATCTTCCAGGTGATCTTTTCACCGCTGCGTCATTTAGCACTACGATATTAGACCCACCGACTTCGTCATGCGTCTCCGAACCACCATTGTCATTCTACGTCCGTCACCTGCAGCCCGAACCTTTTGTGTTCAAGGAGCTAGTGGTGTGCACGCACGCTTTCCTCCATGACGACACCGTCCGCTGGCCTTTCCAGCCACCCTACAGCGGACGCTACCTAGTCGTCAATCGCGACGAGAACAATTTCACTCTCCGCCTGAACGGAAACGTCGTCCGCTTCTCGATTGACCGACTCATGCCCACTTACATCGCTGCGAACCATTCGGGCAGTTTCATTTCGTCTACAGGCATCCTTCCACAGCCGCCGACGTAGCAGCCCACTCCTTTCACTACACGCTCTGGATTCAGGGAACGCCTTCCAGATTTCTGCAGACCCTGAGGGTTTTGTGCTCCACAGGGGAAGGGACGTGTACGTTGACGGCCCGCACCATGAGGGGGGGGGGGGGTATACGGCCGCAGTCATACACAACACAAACACCGTAAACAGGCTCACTTTCAAAGCCTACAGCGCAACACACGCGGAAGAGACTGTCATCGCTCTAGCTCTCACCTAACGCTCTTCTAAACATATCATCACCGACTCACGAGGGGCCTGTCGGAACTATCAGCTAGGCCGGGCTTCGCCGTTTGCTCAGCGCATACTGGAACCTAGCTGCCGATACGTTCATCGAACTCCGCGAAATCTGATTTGGGCACCCGGTACCCAAGGACTCAGTGGTAACAAACAGGCCGATCAGGCCGCCCGCGCACTCTCTTCCTTCCTGGGCTATCTCCCTGTCTTTCGAAGCCTACTCCCAATCAGACAACTCGGCCCTTTTATTCAAAGATATTACCATTTACTATAAGGAGGAGCACTGGCGCTATCCAGACCCTTTTAAGGGTCTGCATCGCGCTGACGAGTGCCTCCTTTTGAAACTGTTTACGAATACTGTACTGCGCTTGGCGGTGCTAAAACATTTCAATTCATCCTTTGATGGCACGTGCCAGTTCTGTGGTGAAGTGGCTGACACCTTCCACATCATCTCGGCGTGCCAGTCTAATCGATCTATCCCCCCCGACCTCAACCCCATGAGAGAGGACTGGGAGGCGGCCCTGCTCGGCTATCAAGACCTGAAGGCCCAAAAGGCCCTGGCTTAACGGGCGCGGGCGGCGTTGCTTGCCAATAGAGCTCCGGAATACAGGTTCCCCCTAGTGCTGTGAGAGTAGGAGGCCAATAAGGCTCCAACCCAATCACCTCTCTATAACCATTTAATGGTTAATAATTGTTTCACCACCACCACCACCACCACCACTTGCTGCAACACGCTTCCGATAAAAGACAGCGCCTCTTCAGTTCCACTAGAGGCTGACATCACCACTGTTGACGATAAAAACCAAACTGGCAAGCTCAATTTTATTGTTGTTTCAGACCTTTCGAGCGTAGCAGCGTCATTTTGTTTTGTGTTGGCATGCATCCTTGTGACGACACGGCATCCTACACTATCAATGAACTTACAAGAAACATTCTTAAGCTAACTTTGTTTGTCCAAGCCATACATGCTTTCCCTCAACATTGACGTGTCCGGTGACTCGATCAATGGAGGGGTGCGCTGACTGAAGCACATACAGTTGGATGAAAATGGCATTCAAAATTGTCTCAGGCTCTACTTTCACTTGAAGCAACAGGAGAAGTTGTTCGCATCCAGCGCAAGATTATTCAGGAAGTTGTTGGTCCTAGTGTGCCTAAGAATTAGGACCCCACCGAAATGCACAGCGCCACTCTCACTTTAGACGAACAAGCTCAACTCGCTGCCTCAGTTGAGTTGTGGTGACGCTTGCGCCATCAAAATCTCACATGGCTTCATCGTCGCAACACTGTACACTGTCGTCCTTTATGAAAGGCAAGACGCGAACGCGTTACCTGCGCTCTGCGGCGGCTGCCTACAGCACCATCAACCGACAGCAAAAAGAAACACGTTCGCTTTCAGCATCATCTGTTGCCGAAAAAGGTAATGTGTTATGGCCAGTAGACAAGCACTGCTAGATTGCACTCTCTCTCTGCTCATAATGCGTATTCCACTGTCAACATTTGGTTTTGTTTGGTTTGCTTTATTTAAGGCAAAATTGAACCAGATTGCCTTGGGAGACACGACTAAAGGCTAAGTAAATGTTTGACTTGGTCATGCCATCCTGGCAGCAAAGCATAAACATACCGGAAGTACTGTACGCAGAAAATTACATCACATGTTATCTTAAACGGGTACCATAGTCGAACTGTAACTGCAAGAAGTGTGAATAAAAGAATAGAAATATAAACAGTCCTTATTCGAGTGGTGGCAAATACAAACAAATGCATGTTTTCTATAAAATACATTAACAAGAGACATCTTGACAAGGAAATCGAGTTGCTCTACACGATAAATTAGAGTATAATAAACAACAGGCAAAGGGACAATAATCAATAAGGTGCAATGAATAAAAAAACATCATTAACTACAAAATTCAAAAATCAAGAAAAGCGTCGCTTTCATCCACTATAAACTCTTTTGTTATTTTAATAAACGATCTAGCTGAAATTCCGTCTTCCAGTAAATGAAATATAGTTGGGTGTTTGTTTAGAATGTTTGGAATTTGTGACGCTAATCGTTGTTCACCGTAGTTCGTGCGTGTTCTATATTTGTATATTAGGCTCTTTCTCAGCTCGTATGGTGTTTGTTTCACATAATATGTGTCCAAGAATAGTGATGTATTTAGTTTATACTGGTGTTATATATCCAGACGTAGCTTATGTCTGTATAACAGTTTTATAGGCGATACTTTGTACATTTTAAAATGTGGTCGAGCACTTTCGTAAAGCGGAGTGTTAGATATAGCACGTTTAGCACGCTTTTGTAATATCAACAGAGAATTAAGGTTTGTGGTGGTCGTTGTTAGCCACACCAAGGAGCAGTATGTTAGTCGTGAATGTGCTAGTGCGTAGTAAATTTGCAGCTTGCCATTTGTTGGGACGTAGTACCTCAGTCTATTTAAAATGCCGATTCTCCGGAAAGATCTTTTTTAATCGCGTCCATATGAGGAGACCAAGAAAAGTTGTTCTTGAAATAGAACTTCTAGAAATTTTATTGTTGTTGTGCGCTGAATCTCAGTGCTCTGGAAGTAAATTGGAGTGCATGGTATATGAGCTACTCCTTCAGGCTTGAAAAAAAAAGTACTTTGTTTTAGCGATATTCAATTGAAATTTATTTGCGTTTAACCATAAATTCAGTTTTTCCATGCAAACGTTAGCTTCTTTATATAGCTCGCATACGTCTGAACCTGCGAAAAATACATTTGTGACATCAGCGTACAATATTATTTTCTTGTGTCTCTCGATATTTACGATATCATTAATGAACAGCAGGAATAGGATAGGTTTAAGAATCAATCCCTGGGGGACTCCGTACTTAATGTGTTCAACTTGTGAGTGTGTATTATTTACAACAGTATATTGTTTTCTAGACGAGAGATAACTTTGTATTAATGGAGCTGTGGTACCCTGAATGCCATAATACGGTAGTTTTCGTAAAGGTAGATCGTGTTGTATACTGTTGAATGTCTTTCTAAAATCTAGAAATATTCCTAGTGTAAAGATTTTGTTTTCGATGTTATCTAGAATGTATTTTTTGATGCTGAGTAGAGCCGACTCAGCAGACTTGTTTTTGCAAAATACATACTGGTCTTTTGCTAATATATTGTTTGCGTTTAGAAAGCCCGCAATCCTCTTATTTATAACTATTTCCGCCATGTTCGCGAACACAGAGAGTACACATATAGGCCTGTAATTGTTAAGCTCATCAGATGACCCACCTTTATGGATGGCAGTTACATTCACAAGTTTCATTTGATCGGGAAAAACAGCTGAAGATAGCATCAAGTTATAAATGTGCGTTAGAGGTGTAGCGATAATGTGACTTATAGCCTTTAAAGGCTTTGGCTTAATGCCATCTGGGCCGCAAGCACAGTTATCCTTTAATGAAGTGATTAGCTTTACCACTTCTTGTTGATCAGTAGGAAACGGGAATGCACTAGACGGGTAATTTGACGCTATATAGTTCTCGCAACACGTTTCCGTGCTGTCTGTTGTAAACTCACCAACTCTTAATAAGTATTTGTTAAAGGTGACAGCGATTTTTAATTTACTCATGCCCAGTTTTTCAAATTTTATTCGTCTGAATATCTCCTTTTTGTTAATGAGCTAATTTATTGTGTCCCACAGCAGGCGCGCGTCTCCTGAATGAGTGATAAATTGACTAATGTCGTATTCCGTCTTGGCTATCTTCAAATCTTTGTTCAGTGTATTACAAAATTTTTTGAAATTACGCAAATCGTTTTCGTCTCTGGAAGATAGAAAAACTTGAAAAAGGTTGTTTTTGACTTTAATTCTGTTTTACAGTTCCGCTGTCACCCATGGTTTTCTGCATTTCCTGTGTTTTTTGCAGGGCTTAAGAGGGAAGCGCGCGTCATATAAAGATGTCAAGTGTTTTAAAAATATGTTGTATGATTTATTAGGATCTCTTTCTTCTATAACCTGCTCCAGTCAATTCCAGAGATATGGTTCTCAACAAGTTTAAAGTTGAGGCTAGAATAAATCTTAAAGAGTATTTCACCCTTACTTTTGATTACACGATTGCCTGGTGGGAAGCAGTATGTTGGAAAATGGTCGCTAATGTCGGTAGTAATTGCGCCTGCTTTGACATCAGTAATATCGAAACTTGTAATATATAGGTCTAACGTTGTTTTCGATGTGGCCGTTATTTTCGTTGGGTGCTAATTACATTCATACAAACATATGCTTCGATTAGTTCATTTAGGCGTACGTAGCTGGGTTTATCTAGTGACACATTGATGTTAAAGTCACCTACCAAGACAGTCTGTAAGCGAGACTCTAGAGATCTCTCCAGTAATTTTTCAATGAAATTCAAAAAGCTTTCTATCGAACCAGTAGGAGGGCGATAAATCACAGAAAATAACACATTGGAACATTCTAACATTATACACTCATAGCTATCACCTACAACCTTAAACTCGGCAACAATTCTATATGGGAGGTTCGCACGGACACACACACAGATACCACCACCACGCTTTCGTAATCGGTGTGCAGAAATGCACTCACAACCGTCAATCAATATACAATCATCATCTGATGACAGCCATGTCTCAATAAAGCAAATTATATGAAATGTATAATTATTTTCTGACAGCAACATGCTTATCTTATCAAAAGTCTTTCTTAAACTTCTAGCATTTAAATGAAAAACTTAGAGTGCAGAGCCGCTTCTTAAGGTTGGAAGATCGCGTAGGAATTCGGATGGTGAGTACGACATCTTGGAACTGGATCACCCGAGAAGTACACAACTGTTAATACTCTTCATGATAAACGTATCATGTCTTCGCTTCCCCGAATGACCACTGCTCTTTCGTCATTTGCTCGCCTCACTAGCACCTTACAGTTGGCATGCCACACAAGGGCAAAACCCGTTTTCCTAGCCCATTCTTTGGTCATTGTGGGCAGTTCTCACGCCTGTCGAGTCATGTTCTCACAAATGTATGTGTTACTGTTTTCGCTTTTGAGCTGTCGCCGCTTTGAGAGCCAGTTGTACCTTGTTTCCTGATTCATGAAGCGCACAATAATGCCACAAGTCTTGCCTGGCTTAGCGGGTAGCCGATAGATGGTTTCAAGATCGCTGCGAATCAGGGAGGGAAGTGATATTTGTTTCGCAATTTCATTCACTTTTGCCACAAGATCCTCACCCTCAGTTTCCTTAATGCCATGTATTTCTAGGTTCACACGTCGGCTACGATATTCTAGCTTGTCTAAATCTTGTGCCATCAAAGCCACATCTTTAACTACCTTGCTTTTCTCTAGCTTATCGACTCTCTTCGACAAGTCTTTCGAAGCTGTTGCTTGGGTGTGCAGTCGTTCACTGAATTCATCAAACTTGTTTGGCAGAAGCTGCACAGCTGTTTCCATTGATTGGAGCTTGCTTAGCAGAGCTAGGAGTGCATCAATCTTAAGTTCAAGTGAGTGGAGTTGCTGCGCTACTATGCTATCAGTTGAAACCCCTTACGCATCAGTCCCAGATTTCTGGCCGCCAGTCTTGCACTTATCGCACTTCCATGCTTTCCCCCCGTTTTTTGCACGCTTCTTCCGAAACGCCTGAGCATGCACCTAGGTGGAATGCGAATTTACATTCTGAACAAGCCAGAAGCAGGCGTCCGTCTTCTGGTTCAAGACGACATGAACAACAACGTAATTGTGACATGTCACTGCAGTTTCACACTACAACTACACGCCAACGCCTGGCAGCACCGACGGAGAGCAGAACAATGGCATAAAAAGGTATTCACCAACCTGTAAAATATGGAGCGAAATCTCAGGCGTGTGCTTGCTGGTCGGGCCGCTGCTGCCAAAAGATGGTTCACACCGCTCGTATAAAATTCGTTGGCCGTGTCCGAGTAGCGTCGCTGTGGCAGCCAACACATATCAAACATATGTCAACACATATCACATTTTAACAAGTATCAAATATATAACAAAATATCAAACGTTGTTCGCGACCACGGCGCAAGCTGCAGTAATCGCCTGATATCGCTCGCCGCGTGAGCCATGGGGGAACGTTGTCTAGCGGCGCTTGTCCACCGGCCAATATTCGTTATCTTGCCCGGCCATGAATGCCCCGAAAAGCGAACGCGCTTTCTTCACTTGTCGGTTAATGGTGCTCTAGGCAGCCGCCGCAGAGCGCATGCCACGTGTTCGCGTGTTCTCTTTCATAAAACAACAGTGTACAGCTTACTGGGAACCACGCGGAGTGACATTATGAACTTCTTGCTGTACAACTTCTTTGTGGTGTGCCAACAGGATAGTCATAGTATACTTCAACGTTAATGTACGTCGACATGAAAACCAGTGTTTTTTCGCGTTTCTCGGTGCGGAACTTGGACTGCACCTTCTGTCGGACGCCACGCAGTCAACTAATCACTACAATACTTGTCAAGATATTGTGGTTACTGTATTACTGCCAGCTCAATCACAATTGGCCATGTTATCTTCATTTCGAATGGTTTCTAAATCTTCGAGCTTTACTAAGTGTGACAGCCCGATCTGTTGCTCTCTCAATTAATGCATGGCCATGTACCAAAACTGTGGCATTTTTCGCAAAATACACGTGGTACTAATTTGTACACTCATACGCATTGATGCTACAGCTTTCATCAGCCAATACCCTCGCCACTACGTCCCATAAATAAACATGATGCAGCCGCGAATACTTGACCAAGACTGAAACAATAACATTCTTCAAACAAACATTTTCTGCACCTTGCGTTTTATTGTTTTTTTTATAAGCAAGTTTTTTGGCCTCAAGGGCGGGGGAAGAAGTCGGCAATAAAGGACCTGGGCAATATCACAAGGAACACTGCAATTCAATTCCAGGATTTGTAGGAAAGATACGCCACATACATGCGTATGACATCGGTGTGGCTGCAGCGATCAACTTCAAGAGGACCTCATTCGACCATGGCATCGTTACTCCAGTGGCCGCTGCTACCACGTAAACAGCATGTGCATGGATCGGCGAGGGCGACGAAGCGTGCTGCATTCAGAAATCCCACACGACACCTCATCGAAGCTCGGCAAGAAAACCCCCTGTCAAGAGGTACGTCAAGCTGTTGTTAAACAGAAAAACTTTCATTAGAATTAGACATTGGTGTGATAAGTGGATGTCTATGTGTGTTCGCATGGATGTATAAAAAGACAAATCAAGGGGAAAATTAACGAGGTTATGGCGTGCAGACTCAACCAGAAGCGAAACAAGGCATCATTTGCGTTGTCTGGCTCTATTTCATCCGTGTTCAAGTTTGCACATCCTACATACTTTCATGATAGAATGAAGTGAACAAGTTCAACTTATGTCATTTCAAGAAGGAAACGCAAGGGTGTATTCACAAACATGTCCGGTTCACTACGCCATGAAATAACACAAAAAACGGATAAAAGAAGAAAACGTAAAGTGTAACAGTAAGGAGGGATAATGAGCGCCAAAAGCAATGTTCCTTGCAGTTCAAAAACGTTCCTATAGAGACTGCAAGGTAAACAAGGAGTCCTGCGATGTATTTTCATAAGCCTTTTTTTTATTATCGCTGGGTTGAGTAGGCTGATAAATTGTCAGTCCAGTGCAAATAGGATCATAGTATTAACAATACGCATTTGAAATGTGTTTCTTCTAGAAATTTCAAAATACCAAGAAATGGTAAATACATCTTTCACGTGAGGTTATGGGTCACGTGTCCTTATATCAATTGTTTGTCTAATAAACCGGCTGTACCAATCACCCTAAGCCGTTGCCAGAAATGATACATAAACCGTGTCTGCGCGAGATAGTCATATACCAATCTCTCATGTGTAGACTGCTCTAAAATTACACAAGAAACACCACGTGAATGATCACTAAATATCAAGCGAAGGGTTATTGTACTTGCGCACATAAACTTGTCGATAACCGAGAAATATAAAGGTGGAAGAAAAAGAATGCCTGTTCTGTAAACCTACGTTACTGCATGCGCTTCTGTGAGAGACACCAAATAAAACATGGCCATAATTATGAACATTTCGCAGAAAAATTATCTCTATGTTTGTGAGGTCAGCCGACGGCCTGCCAGTGGATAAAAGAACTTTCTTCTTTATCGTGGAAGCTTCTAACAGGTCTCTAACCACGTCGTATTTATTTTTTTTGCCTCTGTACGTTTGAAACCTTTAAATTGCATGTGAATATGATCTCACTCAGCCAGATTTAGGTCGCGTGCCCTGCCGTCTAAAGCAGTGCGCTCCCGAGCTATATACAGCACAGTCTTCAGAAGAACAAAGTAAACGTGTCCCGAGAGGAATATTTCAGCTATAGTCAAATGTATACGCATGTAGCCAGACTGGTCGGGTGTGCATTGAAGTGAGTGGCCAAATTTCACATTACAAATAATCTGCTCGTGGTATTCCGCTTGCATGCCGGTCCTGGTAATCAGGGACTCTGTCGGAGACGCCGTGACTGCGCCTGCTGCAGGCATGAAAGTCGGTGTGGTGACAGACTCTATTCTTCGAAACAAGAAATGATATCGGGGAGTCACAGCACAAACACGCTGACGGACGTTCATACCCAGCTCCTAGAGCTTCCACCGATGGAATACGGTAACAACTCAAGTTGGTAAGGCCCTATATTAAATTTAATACATCAGGTTCATTTATATTGTTACTGGCATGCACCATGGCGCATTATAAACATTGCTTGCCTTGGGCCTTTCTCAGCATTAAAAGAAAGACATTCTCAGTAATAAAGTAAGGGGGGGGGGGGTTCTTGGATTAAAAACACACCTTTTATTTTTTTTTTATTGAATGGGGATGCTGAGCAGTGATCTCGTTTGCGGCTGTGTACACGGACCTTCCGTTTATTTGCACCGCTGCGGTTGCAACAACAAGTAGTTTTTCCTTGGGAAAGAGGGGGGATAGAGAAATAAAGTGGTACCGAGGTTCCACTTGAAGTTTGAGTTTAGCTGTTCGGAACGCATGGTTTGCGCTCAGGTTTGTTTCTGTCGTAACCTAAGAGGACACATCCTATACTGGTGAACCTCACGAATAAAAGAAGAAATACGTGGTGCACACAAACTAGCATGAAGCGTGTATTCTAACATAGCATACATTTAAATGACACATACAGGAAAAGTAACCATGTGGGTAACAATGAGCTTCAGTAAGGGTCACACACCGAGCACTCATGCACTTTTGTAAGAAGCAGGCCTATAGATATAATTTTTTTATTTCGCAATAAAATTGCCGCAATAACTTCCTGCTTCTATTCATTGCCTTTACTCAGCACATCTCATAATAATCAGAGGACGACGCGAAAAGGCAAGCCGTCTCCTGCTGCGAGTGGCAAGCGCACAATGTCCACCTTCAAGTATGTGTCGCACGCGCTGTTTGATCTCGATGGCCTACTGCTAGGTGAGCGGATAACATACCGTGTAGGTCCTTATAGGAAAGCATGAATGCCATTCAGGCACAGTTGAGTCACTGCAGGGATTTCCTAAATGGCCAGCACATTTTTTGCCAGTTTGTATATCAATGACAATGTCTCTGTGTAAGATGCGAGTGTAAGATGCGAACAATAGGTTTACATGCCACGCTCATGATGTGCTCTCGGCCATTTCACTAGCGTCACATATAACGAATTCGGTAATACGGTACGCCAATACATCAAGAAAGTATGATACTGGTGCAAGATAAACATGAGATGCGTGTCATGTAACAGCATTACTACATGCTACGCTCAAGATGCGCTCGCGGCTGTTTCGCTAGCTTCATATATGCCGAATTTGGTATTACGTGACGCCAATGAATAACGATTGTATGTATCGGGGGCAAACATGGTAATCATGAGATGCGTGTCATGTGAGAACATGAATATATGCCACAGTCAATGCGCCAATTCATTTCGACGTGACGGCGTGCGTGTTCTCGCCTGCGTTCATTTCGTCGCGTCACGCCGGCGTTGCCAACCCAGGTGCCGGTCCTGCCATTTACTTTCAGGAGCACGCTGCGTTGCTTTGACGCATGCGTGTTTCAGCGCGTTCAGCGTCCCTCCGTCTCGAAAAGATGCAGGCGCAATGCTGTCTGGGTTGGCGCCAAATACAGCATGTCACATTTCGCGCCGGTTGCTGTCAGGCTGCGCCGAAGGACGGTGGTCGCGCCAGTCGCGCTTAGCGTCAGACTATAGAGTGCTCACGCTTTGCTAACATATATCGTCACTGCGCCCAACGTGCACGCGCGTCAACGTTAAGTTTCAGTATAATGGGTCCTTTATGAGGCACTCGAGGACGTTTGATTGATTGATTTGTTGGGTTTAACGTCCCAACACCACCATAGGATTATGAGAAACGCCGTAGTGCAGGGCTCCGGAAATTTTGACCACCTAGGGCTCTTTAATGTGCACCCAAATCTGAGCACACGGGCCTACAACATTTCCGCCTCCATCGGAAATGCAGTCGCCGCAGCCGGGTTTCGATCCCACGACCTGTGGGTCAGCAGCCGAGTACCTCAGCACTAGACAACCACGGTAAGGCTCGAGGCCGTTTTTCTAGCTCCACATATAAACATATGGTGTTAGGTAACGTCAATGGATGACGAAGGTAAATGACTGGTGCAAACATGATATTCATGAAACACGCGTCATGTAAGAACATGGCAACATACCACGCTCATATCGGGCTCGTGGCCACTTCGCAAGCTCCACATTTACTCAATTTGGCATCACGTGGTGTGAATAGATGACGAAGGTAAACAACATATCCAAACGTGATAATCATGACACGGAAGACGTGTATCGCATAATTTACCGCCACTTTGTAACGTTGTATTGATTTGAAAGTGGCATATCAACCTTCCTCGCTCGTGCTTCGCATATCATCAATTTTCACTGTACGTGGGATCTGCCATTGTTTTGCAGAATACTTGAATGCAGAAATTTTTTCGTCATTATTATTCTTGAGCTATGTGGCTTGGGTTTATTTCGTTCATACCTGTTTGCTCTCTCAATGAAAAATTACAGCCTATCCACGGAATCAATGATGATGACTGGGGTGAAGCTCCGGATGGTTTTATCGGTAAACCATGAATTGTCCAACCGCCCGAAGGCCGCGTCCATCAATCAGTCCGTCTGTCTAGTTTCCTGGCCATCGACTCGCACGTACGTCGGTCCGTCTGTCTGTCTGTCCATTTGCCCGTTCTTCCATTGGTTCGTCCATCTCGCACCTTTTCATCATATATTCATCATATACAAATACCGCCATCTAGCGGCCATGCAAGAACTAAACAATAGGTGGCTATCTCACGGTTACTCACGGTATAAATTTGGCTGAACGTTTGCTTGAACTCTGTCGATCGCATTCGGTTCCGCGGAAAAAAATAGCAAGTGTGACACTCAACCATTACACTGCCTGCGAGGAGTTTAAAGAAAAATATTTATCCATAGTGGCAAACGGCATACGCAATGCGCATTCACAAGACACTTTTTGACCCCTAAAATCGCTTGTGCTAAGCACCATCGCTACATTGGTGACGCTGTGGCATTCTTTCAACCCATGGAAGTCGTTTTACTTCAGCGGGAAATCTAAGAACGGAGAAAAAGTTCGATTGCAAGCGCACCTGGCTGCGAGAACACGATCGTCCTCCAGAATGCAGACCGTGCAGCAGCTCACCCAGCGAGCGCTTCTTTACGTCCTGGGCATGTGAGCGCACCAGCGTGTCCCAACTCTCAAGCCGCCCGCTTGTTTATAAGAATATTCGATTATGATGTAATGGCTCGACCAAATTCGCTCAAGTTTTGCTAGCTTGTCTGAGAACGTACAGTAATTAACCCTCACCACACTGATTATTGTTGAAAAGTGGGTGTCATGACGTCTTTTACCCATAAACTTTGGCTACCTGGTGAACGTTCATTTTATAAGGAACAACTCAAAATAGCCATGAAACTCATATAAGTAAAGACGGTGAGGTTGTCTGTACCTTGTTTCATAGTTGTGCGCAATGCATTCGCTTAGGCACGCACAAGCAATGAAGATTTACTGAAATCCTTTGAAGTCTTCTAGCGAAGTTGAACGCATTCAGGCGCTGAACGTCTGCTGCGCCACCCGAAGGCTCACGGTGTCCCCATGGCAGTCGCGACCAGCACGACGCCTGCTTTGTTCGACCTCAAGATGTCGCAGCATCGAGACCTCGTCACACTATTTCAACACGTGGTCTGCACCGGTGGATGCGCAAAAGTAAAGCGCGGCAAGGTACACCCGGACATCTTCCTCGTGGCTGCAGCAATTTTTGACGAGAAGCCGCCTCCCGGAAAGGTTGAGTGGGCGTCAGATGCTGTGCACATTTACTAGGTCACGTGGTGTTTTAACTTTCATCGGAACAAGTTCTTCTGAGAACTCGACGTTTTGTTTATCTTTTAGTTTCTACCGGTGTCAAAGAACTGATAGGTGGGGCCATCTGGCGGGGCCACTATGAACCACGCTGTGCAGAATTGTTCTTGCAGACCCTCGCACACTACTGCTCAGCTCAGTGTAAACTCTCAGCAGTGGTCTAGCGCCCAATTCGTCGCCTTTTAACACTAACTTTCCCCAAGTATATCAGACGAAGAAAAACTTTTCTAAAGTTGTGGTTGCATGAATCCTCACAAGCTGTCTGCACCATGGTCCAGTTACTAAAGGCTGTTTCAGATGCTGCGATCGCAGTGAGTAGATAAATTGCTCAGTTCAGCGTATTTGCATTGTTCGCAACTGCCACTGATGGTGGTTTCATAAGTATGGAGGCTTGAGCGAGTTTGTATATCGCCTCCCGAAAAGTTGGCGGGCAAGATGGTCATGGAGTCTCGTAATATGCACTAGAGAGAACTCTGGCGCTAGTGTCTACGGGAGCTGCAACGCACGGCGCTTCAGCGAGCACGGTAATGATGGGTGGTACACACATTTGTCTAATATTCCTACTTTTGGCCTGTTTTTGGCTTCATGTGGGTTCGTGTGGCTTGCAGCTGTTTTCCTGCGAAACAAATATTTGCAAGTATTCAGCGGTTGCGCTTCACAAATTAAATCTTTCAGAGTTATCTTTCAAATCGGGTCACGATGTCCAAAAATACACGAAGCCGCAAGTACGATTCGCCGCCCTGAAGTTCGAAGACTTGGCAAATCTGTGTACTACCCATCATTCCCATGGTCACTAAACGATCGCAGCGCCAGAGTCCCCTCTAGTTAATTTTAGGAAACTCTATGAAGATGGTCACCTGTCTGTGTTCTTTTGCTTCGTCATCGTCTCATGTGAATTGTTCAGCATAGACGAATAATGGGTTCGTTTAACATGCATGGACTGTGCACGGTCCGCTATTTTTTGCTCTGTGAGAGGTGCAGAGTGTAAGGTTGCTTGCGCCTGTTCTTCGCTGCCAACACTGTTTATTTTAAAACGTAAAGCAGATTAATAGTGAAGAGCACGGCATCAGCTTTGTCGACGCGGCAGCGTACTGTGGGAGCCGCAGCTTTTCCGCAGTCGTCGTTGACTCCAAACAGCAAATCACCAACTGCGCATCGGTTCACACTCACGATCCGGCGATTGCCGAGCAAGAGTTCATCGCCATTGCCATCCTGGAAGGTGAAAGGGAAGTGATCTATATAGTGACTCTAGGTCAGCTGCTCGCGCTTACGAGCACGGTGTAATCTCCAAGAAAGCCCTGCGCATGCTCTAGAGTGGTGGTCGCGATGGTATCAAGCACCACGTACTGATCTGGTTTCCTGCACATGATGGACAGGTCCTAGGCGCTCCTCTCAACCTCAACGAGTCTGCCCACAAGGCCGCGCGCGCGCTAACCCACCGCACCGGTTCCGGGCAACGATTCGGGGCCAACAGAATTGCGCAAAACAGGGACGCGCCTGCCACGTACAACGAAATAAAACATTTTTACCTCGCGCGAAGACTATATCCACTCCCTCATCCAAAACCGAATAGGCCACAGGCCCTTATGCTCAGGCTACTGCAGACCGACACGTACCCTAACCTGAGATTCCTTCACGCTATTTATCTTGATGTGTTCCCCAATGACGCTTGCCCCGCATGTGGGGATGCATCCACGCTGGCGCACATGCTCTGGGAGTGCAAAGCGATGTACACTAACCCCAACAGCACATCAGTCAGGTGGGAGGCGGCCCTACGCAGCTCAATCCTGGCCAAACAACTTTGGACCGTCCAGCAGGCCCGCGGAGCAGCTGATAGGCTTGGCCTAACGCTCCCGACGTGGGAGTCGCCCGCTGCGCGCTGAGGCGCGCCTTGCAGGGCCACAATAAACTTTCGCAACCAACCAATGTAGAAATCCGCGCATTATGTTACAGTCAAGTTTTTGTTTACGGTAGCGAAGCGCAAGCGTGTTTTGTCATTTCAGAACACTTTCTCGTCTGCTTTTATTTTAAAGTGTTCAACAGCGGCCATAGCCAAAATAATCGTTGGCGCAGTTGTAAAGGATTGGCCAATGTGTAAGACTTTCGACAAAAGAAGTTCTCGTTGGGTTTGTCTCTCATCGCCCGCCTTCCCTGATCCCAGCTAAGACAAAAAGTAAAATTTTGCCTCTCTCTCTCTCTCCCGACAATAAAGTCCTCCGCCGCGGCAAACAGAATAAATTTCTAACATGTCGGTCACTCGCTACTGATTATTGCGGCAAGAGTAATCTGCCATCTTTTTCTCCCTGCGAGCGGACTCACAGCCTCAAAATCCGTGTGTTTTTTGCCATGGGAAACGACATAGCGTCCCCGACTGGTGACCTAGTATTCTGTATAACATTTTGTGCACGCTCGGAAACGCAAGAACCTAATTTGTTTTATTACTGCAATTTACGCAAACAGTTAAAGCGGTGTTTCAATGACTCCGAGAATAAGGATGCGTGCTCGATGGGTTTTCTAGAAAATTTCTGAACAACTTTGTTAGTGTGTGTCCACTCAATATGCGCTCAGGTGTCCTTCTCGCCATTTAACCACAGGTGCCGGTGTTCGAAGACGCTCCCACGGGAGTCACGGCTGCACTGGCTGCTGGCATGCAAGTCGACATGGTTCCGGACCCTCGCGTTGATTAACAGAACCGGCGTCGAGTAACTATGTGCATTGGCTCGCTGCTTGAATTCAAGACAGAATTGTTCGGACTCTCACCGTTCGAAAAATCCTCAAAGGAGGACTGACACACTGACCATAAGGATTCAGACACGTAAAATTATATATCATTCCACACAGGTCGGTAGGGGAGCGGTTCCTCCCCCTCCCCACACACACGTAGGGCAGACACTCCCTTTTTCTTACATATCTGGCAAAAGTTACCGCGCTTGTCGTAAATAAAACAGAAAAGGACTTAGTTTACATATTTTCAATACTAGGGTTATATACTTGTTAATTTTAAAGATTTAGGAAAAGAAGGTCACTAAAGAGGACGATTTAGTGGCATACTTGGTAGTCGTACATCGAGAAATATATCAGTACGAAAGTCTCAACATTGCACATCTATAGTTTGAGACATATCTATCTATTGCACGGTATACATCAGCAATGTCCAGGCTTTATTTCTATTGCTATATTACATTTAAAATAGCCGAACATATGACCTTCTATAGCAGCGTGGGTGTTTCGCTAGTGCCATTCTTGATCAAACGCGAGTTCATGGTAAAGCATGATGAGGACTTGTACTCCTATGTGATGCTTCTACATAAAATATTTGTATTCTAGACGGGCTTGGTATGAACAGCAAAAGAGGGGAGGGAGAGCGCTCGAAGGGAGCCCATTTGCAGAGACGACGATCGCATCTGTTCACCTGCGAAATGGACTTTCATCGTGGCTTGATTTCTCGTTTCTGGTGCGGAAATGGGCATCGCCTTCCAGAAATGACACACTTATAACATCAATTTCTTCAGTCATGAATTTCTTCAATCTATGTTAAAAACACGATTCAGGCATTGCTTTTCATGACACCATCAACGGCGCTATCGGCAAATTCTGGGGGGATCGGAGCTACAGATTGATTGATTGATTGATATGTGGGGTTTAACGTCCCAAAACCACTATATGATTATGAGAGACGCCGTAGTGGAGGGCTCCGGAAATTTAGACCACCTGGGGTTCTTTAACGTGCACCCAAATCTGAGCACACGGGCCTACAACATTTCCGCCTCCATCGGAAATGCAGCCGCCGCAGCCGGGATTCGAACCCGCGCCCTGCGGGTCAGCAGCCGAGTACCTTAGCCACTAGACCACCACGGCGGGGCTCGGAGCAACAGAGATTGGTAATAATACGCTAGAGGGACGTCCAGTGTCCATGGAAGCTTCCGCCAGTACAGTACGGGAATGACTTATTGTACATATATTTCTCTACGTGCTTTTTAGATGCAAAGCATCATATGTTCATCTGGTGGTGTGTGCGCTCTTCTGCGCATGCTCTTTTTTTCCACTTTCTTCTCCTTATGCTTCCCTGCTCTCTCGCCACACAATGTTATCGCGTAAAGTGTCTGCTAGCCTACGCTCGCTCCCTCTCTTTCCTATATGCATCGCTCCTCACAGCGTTTACATCCCTATTGTGCATGCGCGTTCCTTCCCACTCTCTCTACCCTCCTATAGTTCTCCCATTTCTGGCCTCTTAACGCCGACGCAAGCAGCGTCGCCTAGCGAGTTTTCTAATTGAAATAATCACTGCCGAAGCACTCTGAACAAATGGTTAACCAGCGAAAGCTGAAGCGTTCCGTCCCGTTGTTTATAGCTGTGGGTTCAACGTGACGCTGCACTGAAAGCTTTCACAATTATTGGTTACGAGTTCGGTCAGGCTCATCACTGTGTTCATTTCACACGCCGAACATAGTGCCTCGTATGATCACGGTCATATGCAGTAGTGTAATCGACGCGTGCCCCGCGTCTAGCGACGCGGGGCGCGCGTGTTGTGATGGGCAGCGGCGACGTGCAACTTCGGTGCAAGGGGCTACCGCGAATGGTGCGCTGTATTACCACGCCACTTCTCAGACTGTTTTTGGGACTGCGTAGTTTCTTGTTCAAAAACGCATTGGTCGTGTATGAGGAGCAGCGAGGAGGAGCAGGTTTATCCACATTGAGATACGTGGAGTAGCTTTTCGCCAGGCTCCAATGTCGGCGACCGCAAGAACAACTCCGCTTCACGCAACTTGTTCGTTCGTTTGTCTGTTTATTCATTATTTTTTTCTTAGTAAACAAGGTTACACAGTCGCGTGGGGCAACTTAGAAGCTGCTATAAGCAGCTTGAAAACCTCGTATATGTAGCCTCTGATCACTTTCACTCAGCGGCGACGGGCTAGCAGATGAACGATCGTAAGAAAATAGGCTGTCCAGCCTTGCACGTTACCTGAGAGAATTCATATTGTAGTGCAAATAAAACTTTATTATTATTATTATTATTATTATTATTACATGCGTTAGCAGGTGCTGAATATGGCAGAGATGACGCCGTTGAGTATTATGTATATTGTGTGACAAGAATTACATAACAATTAGAAAACTTGGAGGACGCTTGAGCTTTGCCTTCAGGAGTAGCCTGCGATACCGTAACTGGGCCCTGTGCTAATTACTAGCCTAGTTTCGGCCTCCTTCTATGCCACAACCGTGCCGTGAGGGAACGAATGACCGTGCGTGCAACACTGGCCGTCTCAAAGTATTGCAGAATGGCTACTGCAAGTACAGTTGCGCAGGGCTCACTGTGCCATAATTCTTCCTTTTGTGAATCAACAAAGCGGTTTTTACGCGTGCGTAAAGCAACACATGAACATAAGTCAGCGCCCTGTAATGGTTGGGCCTTTTTAACACCCACTTATTGCACATTTCACATTTTTAGACACCTGACGCGATTCTAGGCTTGTACCTCATAATATTGCGTGGATCCTTCTACTACATGAACAAAAAAAGTCTAAGCAGAAGGCCTTGCTTTTTTGGCTTGACACAATATTAATGAGAACGTCTGCTACATCAAATTCTTATTGTTTTTATTTTCTCAATCACTTTCGACCATTGGCGTGCCTCTCTGTTATAACACCTGATTGCCACGCAAGGAACCTAAGATCGATTTTCACTCGTACTGAATTTTTTTATTGGCAGGTTCTTTCTTTTTTTTCATGGACAAGATAATGTCTTCTTACAACCAGAGACGCTGATAGCAACGCCAACACCGGAGTTTTTTTCTAAACGAGTTCGTTAAAGCTATCACGTTCAAATAGTATACAACAAATACAATTATAAATGTAAGTATAGGCAGAGAGAGAGAGAGTCGTTTATCCTAAATTTAATTTGATCAATGCGCACACTGGAAGCCTCCAACAAAAATAACCTGAGAGTGTGACCAGATGATCGAAACAATTCAAGACCATGTTATTTTAACAGAGCTTTTAAATCAGGCACAGTAAAGTGAATCAATTGCATGCCATGATTAAGTTTTGATTGCGGTATTACCCAATTATGTTGACCGTGACAGACCTCCGAAGAAATCCGGCGCAGTTCAGAAGGTGGTACCAAGCTTGGCGTCACGAAGATAGAAAGCTCAAACCCAAACGCAAAGTCTATGACGTTCAGTGTGAGAATGACGGTATCGTAACGCACTATACCGTCATGTCTGGTTTTCGCCCGTTGAGACGACAACTTCCATGTGCTCCGGCTCTTCAAGCCTGATGACGTACAGCTCATGACAAAAATAGCAAAGAGCCATGATAAACTTTTCAGCACACTGCTTTTTTGCAATCATATGCAAAAATCTTGTTTTCTTTATGTGCCAAGATGGCTGTTGCACCAGCAAACCTAAGAACGCTATGAAACAAAAATTCCTTAGCCTACCCTCATCAATCGTTGGAAAATAAATATGATGATTTAGATATGCTCATTGATCCTACTGGTGTTCACTTGGTTGCAATAATGATCTCGAAAACCTGGTAAAGAGAAAATAACGTTCCATTTACGTGTACTAGTTATCAAAATTTAGTACTCAACGGTCCACCGTCGCATTCATGAAGTGCAAGTTCTTGAGAAACACACAATTTCAACTGATAATTACGATATACTAACGGTACAAACGGCTTCGAGATTATTTCTGTGGTCTACCGCCCTCGAAATGCTCGATGTCAACTATTTCCTAATTTTCTGAGAAACTTTTAGACTTTTTCTTCCAAAATAAATATGTATTGTTTCTCAGTGGTGACCTGAACATAGACAAGTCTATTTCCACTATTAGTAGCGATTTTCAGTCAATCCTAATATTTGGTGGCTTTATTAATGTTATTATTGAGCCAATTCGTACCACTGTTAGAACAGAGAGCCTACTCGATGTTTATACTACTGAAATTCCCTGTGAAGTCGTCTCAATTGGAACACTTCTGTGCGATATTATTGAAAATCTTCCCATCGCTTTTATTTCCGTAGAAAAGAAAGAAAAGCGCGGGCGTACCGGTCCTGAGCGCGTGCAAAATATTACAGATATTTTACAACAACTTTTTCGAATGAAGGTTCAGAATCATGACTGGAGTCACATTCTATCGTGTACTGACGCAGATTGCATGTATGGAGCGTTTATTTTACATTTTAAAGCTATATATCAAAAACATTTTCCCGAGAGCATAGTCACAAAATCTGAGAAATCTCGAAAGCCTTGGATAATCGCTTAACTTCACAGGCAGATAATCTTGAAAAATCGCATGTACAGGGAATTTGTGAAAACTAGACAAATAGGCAAGTTTAAGGCTTTCAAGGTGTTTAGAATTAAGCTCAATTTCAAACTAAAAACCCCCAAAGAAGTGTATCATCAAGCCCAATTTAACAATGTGGTGAAATATTCTACTTTATTTTGGAAGTGGCTGAACAACCTTATAAGACAGACTGATGTCACTAACAATGACAGCACCCTTGTGAACGACCGCATTGTGCACGGGGCAGATCTTTCAAATAATCTAACTGATCATTTTATATCTAATGAGAGCCGAGAAATTGTGACAAAATAAGCGTTCCGTCAATCCATAACACAGAAAACTTTACGAAAAGCATGGCATGTTTTCCCACATCTGAAAATGACGGTAAAAATGTTTTTCCCATC